ATTTGTCCCCATCTGACACTGGCCTCCCATTTAAATTAATTCGACGACAGTTTCCCGTGATGCCAGCATTTGCGATGTCTATTAATAAATCACAAGGACAAACTCTAAACAGAGTAGGCATATTCTTACCTGAACCTGTTTTCGCACATGGTCAGTTATATTTTGCTTTCTCTCGAGTTCGAAGAGCATGTGACGTTAAAGTTAAAGTTCTAAATACTTCAGCACAAGGGAAATTAGTCAAGCACTCTGAAAGTGTGATGTACAGGGAGATATTAGAATAAGTTTAATCACTTTATCAGTCATTGTTTGCATCACTGTTGTTTTTATATCATGTTTTTGTTGTTTTTATATTATGCCTCTGTTTTATATCCTTTTGTTACTGTTTATTTATTAATAAATTTCTATATTATTTTCATATACATTTTACTAACTTCCTTTCATCTCTCACACTTCTATTATAGAGAAAGGGCAAATAGCAATATTAAAATATTTCTGCTAATTAATTCCCTTTTAGTGTGCACTAATTTCGTGCACCGGGCTACTAGTTTAACAATAATCCACAAACTAAACTAGCTGTAGGAAGGAGCGTGTGAGAGTTCAATTAAAAAGCTGAATATCTCATTGGAGAGCACCAATGAGGCTGCCCACTGAGAAAAAGAAGAAGCACTTCACCGCCATCCCCTTCCCTGGCCACGCAGTTCAGTGATGAGAGGACCACTCAGCCCTGAGTTTTCCAGGAGCGTAGAGAAGGACAGGATGACCTTAGGCCTTCATGGTGGGGGACCGGACACCCCAGCCACTGAGGACACAGGACTTGCGTCCCTGAGGATGAGGAATGCCAGACTTGGCCAGTGTGGACCCTGCTGCCAGAGACCACAGAGACATCCTGCAGTGTCTCCCTGGAATGGAGCATGTGCCCCCCAGAGCTGGCACCATTGACGCCCCTGAGTCCTGGTGCATGCTCACCCTGGACCCAACACCACTCCTGTGCATGCACCCCACCCAGAGGGACAGGAAGCTTACTGAAAGAAATAATGCCCCCAACATCCCATGCCCAGAGAAGGAAATAGACATCAGGATTTGAGGGGCCCAAAGAACCCACATAGATAGAATCTAAAGAGTGTTACCTTAAGATGTATTATAATTAAATTTTCAAAAGTCAAAGACAAAGAGAATTTTGAAAGCAGCAAGAGAAAAGAAATCTGTTACAATAAAGGGAACCCCCCCTCAGACTATCAATGGATTTCTCAGCAGAACCTGGAGAGAGTGGGACAATTTATTAAAGTACTGAAAGAAAACTGCCAATAAAGAATAATATACCTGGCAAAATGATCCTTTAAACAACGAAAGAGAGACAAGAGGTTTTTGCTAAAGGGATTTCTTCAAATTGAAACAAACACATGCTAAATAGCAAAGTGAAAGCATGTGAAAACATAACTTTCACCTGTAAAGGTAAACATATAGTCAAATACAAAATAAAGCAGCATTGTAACGGTGGTATATAAATTTCTTCAAACCCTAATATAAAAGTTAAAAGACAAAGTATTAAGAATAACTGTAACCACATAGAAAAGCTAATAGATACCTATTATAAGCAAAATAAACTCTCCAAGTACACAAAGGGGAGGGAGGAAGATGTGGTGGTTTAGCATGTGACTGAAGTTCAGTTGTTAACAACTTAAGCAGACAGATATAAGTATAGGATATTTTATGCAATCCTCAAGGTAACAACAAAGAAAATCCTGTAATATACATGAAAGAAAAAAAGCAAAGCAAATCATCACATAACAAAGAAAGACAAGAGAGGAAGAAACAAAACAACTTCAAAGCAAACAGAAAACAATCAACAAAATAGCAATAGTAAGTCCTCACTTACCAATAATTACTTTAAATGTAAGTGGATTAAACTCCCCAATTTAAAAAAAAAAACAGAGTGGCTGAATGGATTTTATTTAAAAAGAACCTGTGATATGCTGTCTATAAGGGATTCTGGTTAGATATAAGGACATACATGATAACAGAAATAATAAATGAATTCAGTAAAGTTCCAGTTTTCACAGCAAAAGAAACAATCAACAAATGAAAAGGCAACCCATATAAGGAAGATAACTATATGTCAGATGAGAGGTTAATATCCAAAATATATAAAGAACTCATACAATTCAATAACAAAAAATCCAACTAAAAAGTGGGCAGAAGAGCTGAATGGACATTCTCCACAGAAGATGACTAAATAGACAACAGTGCAATGAGAAGATGCTAAACATCACTACTCATCAGAGAAATGCAAATCAAAACCACAATGAGAACATGTCTCACACCTGTTAGATGGCCATCTTCAACAAGGTAAGTAGAGTGTTTTTGAGGATGTGGAGAAAAAGGAACTCTTGTGCACTGCTGATGGGAATGCAAACTCGTACAGCCAATATGGAAAATAGTATGGTGGTTCCTCAAAAAAATTAAAAAAGGACTACCATATGATCCAGCAATTCCACTCCTGAGTGTATATCCAAAGGACATGAAAATAGGCCATCAAAGAGAAAGCCGAACCCCCACTTTTTGCAGCATTATTCACAATAGCCAAAATACAGAAACAACTTAAGCATCTCTCAGTGGATAGATGAAGAAAGTAGATATGGTCTATATAGACAATAGCATATCATTCTATATAATAAAAGGCTAATATGCAAATTGACTGAACAGCAGAATGACTGGTCATTATGACACGCACTGACCACCAGGGGGCAGATGATGCTCAATGGAGCTGCCTCCTGGCGGTCAGTGTGCTCCCACAGGGGGAGCGCCACTCAGCCAGGAGCTAGCTCACGGTGGCGGGAGCCTCTCCTGCCTCTGTGGCAGTCAGACATCCCCCGAGAGCTCACGGACTGTGAGAGGGTGCAGGCCGGGCTGAGGGAACCCCTGAGTGCACGAATTTTGTGCACCACGTCTCTAGTTCATTTATGAAAAAGAAGAAATTCTTGCCATTTGCAACTACATGAGTGGACCTAAGTGAGATGAGTCAAATGGAGAAAGATATATACTGAATGTGGAATTCAGCTATCACATATGTGGAATTTTGAAACCTGGTTATATGTCATGCCATCATGGCCATCAGAATACATTTAGTCAATACAGAATAAATTTAGCATACAATGGGGCTGGAGCTGAAAAAGGGGAGACGTTTAAGGTATAAACTTGCAACTTGTACACAAGTAAGTCCCAGAGATCTAACGCACAGCACATGGGCTACAGCCAGCAATACTATCACAAACTTCCAGTGGCTTAGACATGAAATCTTAATTGTTCTTACCACAGAAATTAAATAGCAATCATGTGACATGAGACAGGGGTTAGCTCACACTACAGTGGTAAGCCTATTGCAACTAATAAATGCATCCGTAAACCTGTCGTACATCTTCAACTTCACAGTATTACATGTCAGTTAGATCTCAAAAATTTGTCATTTATAAAAAAAAAACAAAAACTAAATGTCCATACTACCAAAAGTGATGTACAGAGTCAATGCAATCCCTATCAAAATATCAGCAACATTGTTTACAGTAATAGAAGAGAATAATTCTAAAATCATAGGGAAACATGGAAGACTGACTAGCAAAAGCAATCTTGAGAAAAGAACAAAGCTGGAGACATTACACTTCCTGATTTCCAGCTACAGTCACGGCCGCTTACTGATGGAGATGTGTGAGTCCTTACGGTTTCGTCGTTGCGAGAGGATCACAGAGTGCACTCACACAAACCTGGAGGGGGGAGGGGGGTAGCCACCACACACCCTGGCTATCCAGGGCCTTGTGTGGTTCCATGGAGCGAAATAGTTTCGCTGTCATTGGTTCCTTCGGCTCTTTTCTACCCTAAGTCTAACACCGGCTTTCTTAGCCACCATTCCAGGCTAAGTGGGCCAGACCTCATCGGAGTACCCAGAGGCCCAGGAAGGTCCTGGGGGTGCATGCTCCGACAGCTGGCAGTCTTGAAACATTACCTATAAGATGGATTTTCTTCAAGACTTGCGGGTTGAGACAGACATTGGCATCACTCTTGAGATAAACAAGCTAAGCACACATTCCTAACCTGATTTAAAAGGCCTCCCATGATCGTCGGCTCCCCCCTCCCCAAGTCACCTTTCCCTCGTCTCCCATGACCCTCCTTCCTCCTTCACTGTGGCAACCACACTGGTCTTGTCTCCATCATCAGTTGCACCATGAACCCCTCCAGTGGGCGGATGTTGTTGCAGGCTTCTCTCATTAATTTTTTTAACAAATTTCAAGTTTAATATAATTAATTTCATTTTTATTTTTAAAAGACATATTATCTTAAACATTTCAGGGTTCCCTGAAGCCATGTGGATTGTTCTGGAAGGGTACACTGTGCAACAGGGAGGCCCTGCTGCTGACGGAAGCAGCACAGCAGTCTTACCAGGGTGCCCCGAGCCGCCGGGTGCTGCAGGTCCTCGCTGTACGCGGAGCTGGGGAAGCTCTGCGGGATGCACGTGGCCGAGAAGCCCTCCTCTTCGACGAGGTTCTTGTACAGCTGTGTCTGCGCTCGAGCCAGGCCTTTCAGTATCACATAAAATCCATCATTTCCGACCACTGAAACAAAACCAACCACAAGCGTTAGTGTGCCGACTACTTCCCAGGCTCTGTGATGGGCGCGAGGACCACACCGCCCTGGCGTTCGCTCTCAGCAGACTCCCTGACAGGGCGACAGTGACTTTAAGGTGGCCCCAGGCGTCAGCAATGCTCCACTCACATCACCAGGGCACGGACCGTCGCACACGGGAGTTCTCCTCCGGCAGTTGTCACGTGACCAGCCCCGAGGGGCTCATGGCCATAGGGAGTAAGACGTTATGATCAAAGTAAAAGCAGCCAAGCCCATGGAATGTTTAAAGATGTTTACCTTCCCCTCATAAGGCCGTTCTGCCTATTGGTATCAGTAGCAATGTCTTCCGACTATTAATTCTCATTTCGCTGTGGAAGGGAGCATGCCAGGGCAGAGGGGTTTGCCCATGTTTCTCCTGCTCCGCCTGGGGACGCTCCACAGCGGGCCACGGGGCCCCTGAAGGTCAGGGGCCTGACGTCGCTGCGCAGGAGTGGAGGCCGCGCTCAGGGCGCTGACTGCTTCGCTGACTTCGCTTACTAACTGGCTGTGAATAGAAACTTCACATCATTTATTTGACAATGCTGCCTCTCTTCATGCCCCAAGACATACCAGCCGTCTGCCTTCTCTCTGGGTTCTAAATCCTGCCTCAGCCCCAGAAGAGAACAGAGGAGCAGCTGGCCCAGGGGGCACGGGACGGGGGGGAGCTTGGGGGTGGCCCAGGGACAGCGAGGCTTGGGTGGAACCATTTGTCAAAACTCATCAAGCACCAGATTCCAGGCTTAAACATGCACACCCTGCATGTCACTATCAGCTTAAATACAGGACGGGACACACTGGCCCTGGGCCAGCACTCAGTGTTTCGGGACCTGCCTGCACAGCTGTTGAGTTACCTGGAGTGTGAAAGGACGCACGCGTAGTGGGAGCTGTGGGGACGGTGCCACTAGAGACCGCAGCAACTCGCTTTACCTCTTCTGTGTCCTGAGCCAGACGCTCCTCCAAGCCCACTGCCTACATGAGCCCTGTGTACCCCCGTCAAGGTCCTGTGGCAGGTTCCACCGCTGTGCATACTTCAGGGCTGAGAGCTAGACCCCTGCGCTGGCTGAGGGCCAGAGGACTTACACACACCGCAGCGGCTTCTACTGTGCTGGCCTGTGTGGGCCTCAAGCACCAGCGCCCTCCCTCCCCCTCCTGGGTCCTCCCCTCCTCCTCCCCCTTATCCTCTTCTCCTTCCTCCTCTTCCTCCCTTCCCCCCTTATCCTCTCTCTCTCCGTCTTCACCCTTCTCTCCCCTCCACCCCTCTGCTTCTCCTTTGTCCCACCTTTCTCTTTCTCTCATATATATTTCGTAGGAATGTGGTTTCAATTATGGTAAAGTGAGACCCTATGTGTGACCTAGTCAGAGATCATGTTTCATCTTAAGTGGAAAGAAAGCACATTTCAAAGAAATATAAATTGATTTAAAATGTTAAAAAATAAAAAGTCAATGTATGTACCCATGAAAACATGTTTATGGGACTAATGTCATGTAACAACACAAGTCTGGAGCAGGGTTTGGTGGTTAGTTTGTAAGAAAATGGGCGTAACTTAAATGCAGGTCATCGCCAAGCACGCTGTTCATCACTGAGCAAAACAGCAGCTCTGGACCAGGCGTGCCACCAGACCTTCCCTATTTTCTCCAGAAGGTCCATGGCCTTAGGTCTTAATAAGTGGGCTGACAGGCCATCTCTGAAAAATGGCTCATTAAGAAATAACCTCCTATAGATTTCCAAGAGCAGAAACATGGCTGCCCTGGCATCCAAACAGGCTGGACCCGCCCTGACGAGCAGGTGCAGCACTGATCATTGATCATCGGGCGCCGGGTGAGGTGCTGGGACTCATTCTCTCAGGAATCCTAAATGTCACTTAGCATCAGTCCACTTTTCAGATGAAGAAATTAAGGCTCAAAATCATTAAGTAACATCAAAAGTGACGAAATACATTAATTTCTGCAGGTTTTCAAGTATAGGGTGCCCCCCAAAGTATACACACACTTTGAATAATTATAAAGGCAGTGTTCATTAAAATACATTTCATTTTCAAAATTGAGCTATCAGCTGTTAAAGTGTGTATACATTTTTGGGGACACTGTATATTCACACACACACACACATACACACACACACAAAACCCACATACATATCTAGAAATGAGCATGCAGTGTATTACATGCATAATTATGCAGCATATGCATATATATTTATGTCTGAAATAAAATGCATAATATATGTGTATGTACATATATACATAAAAAATAGTTTTATAGATTTTATACAGGATCTCAATGAAGATTAAAAGAATTCTTACTATTTTGTTACAAAGTTCAGTTTAGAAATTGACCCTCAATTATTTCCTAAAAATTAATGTTATTAGTTTATTTATTAATCTATCAATATCAGTTTGGTAGAGATATGAAAACAAAAGAATCTAAGAGAATTCTCAGAAATATATGCAGAGTGGGATGAACTTCTTCATACAAATACTTGAGGAGAAAAAAGAAAATCCTCATTCAAACAAAAATATAACATAAATTGAGTTAAAAATGAAAAGTCAAGAGGAAAGTGAAATAGAGCCACCAGCAGAAAATTCTCAGATAGAATTATTCATGTAACATCTGAAATCAGCCCTCAAATATATGGACAAATGATATAAACCCCATAAAAATGTCTACAGAAAGAAGTGCAGTAGAATTAAGCTCTCAAATAACAACTGCAATGTTACTTACAAGTCACAAAGTGATATTACATTTATGAACTGTGACTA